CCCAACACTACATCAATCATACAGCCAATGGACCAGAATGTGATCAGCATTTTCAAGAAGTTGTACATGAAGAAAATGTTCAGGAGGTGTCATCAGGCAACATCCACTGATCCTGAACTAACACTGAAACAGTTCTGGAAGACACAATTCAACATCCTGGAGGCTGTAAAATTGATTGTGTCATCATGGCAAGAAGTCTCCACTAGATCCCTCAATTCTTCATGGAAAGCACTGTGGCCATCAGTAGTCCATGATTTTGAGGGATTTGAAGAAGAAACAGAGTTGGACCAGGAGATTGTGTCCATTGGTCAGTCATTGGGCCTTGAAGTGGAGGAGGATGATGTCGAAGAGCTTGTGATGTCTCATGAGCAGGAACTTACTCCTGAAGACTTGAAACAACTGGATGAGATGTTAGAGGCTGACAATGGTGAGGAGGAAAAGGAAAGTGATGACCATTTGTCAACTAAGGAGTTGAAAGATGTTATTTACTACTGGGAGAAGTTCAGGAAACTGGCTTCAAGGCACCCACATGAGGAAAAATCTGAACTAACTTTGTGTCATGTTGAGGACTCAGTGGTCTCCTTCTTTAAACATAAGTTAATGATGAGGAGGAGAGATGCCCCACAGACCACAATTGACACTTCTTCAGTAAAGGACAGAGGGAACAAGATGCTAGCCCTCAGCCTTCCACTTCAAGAAGGGGAGGGGATGTTCATGGTGGAGAATCTGTCAGTCTAGAGGTTCCTGACATTTTCATGAAAGGTGAATCACCTTCCTAGAAGCAGTAAAATGCTTCACCTCCACTTCCTTCTCTTCTCCCTTCTCCTCCTCCACCTCCCACTTCAAATTCACATCAGCATCATCATCCAGGAGCCTTCTACATACACACCTCAAAGTAAGTGTACTTTTCTACCTTTTTTTGCTGAATTTAGGCAATTTTCGGTGAGCTGGAACCAATTACCCAAAAATCCATTGAAACAATGGTTTCGGTTAACGAGTTTTTCGGTTAACGAGCAACCTCCTGGAATGGATTGTGCTTGTTAACCGAGGGACCACTGTAGTAATAATAATAATTATAGTAATAATAATAATTCCCTGTAATAATAATAATAATAATAATAATAATAATAATAATAATAATAATAATAATAATAATAATAAAAATAAAAATAATAATAATAATAATAATAATAATAATAATAATAATAATAATAATAATAATATTAACACTAATAATAATAAATATACAGTAATACCCCGCTTAACGCGATTTTGCATATATGCGGTGCCTCGCCAGAGCCGAACTTTCACTTAACGCGGTTCATCTACCCATATACACCCAAAGTGTCCGGCTCGGCGCTATTTTTAGATTCGCCCCACCTGCCACCCGCTGCTCCCGCCTGCCACCTGCCTCGCGCCTCCTCCTCCTCCCTCCCTCCCCTCCCGCCTCTGCCTCCCTCCGCCTGGGCAAGCCGTGCTGTAAGGTTGCGCAGTGTGTGTCTTTGTTGCGTTATCACTGACGTCATATGACATATCGGACTGTGATTGGCCATGCATCCCTACCCCCCTCTGCTGCTAGCTGTAATTGGTTTAAAGTAAAATGACGTGTCCACCAGGGGAGGGAGAGAGGGAGGAAAGAGGACGCTGTTGCGGTAGTTTCATCCCTCCAGGCCACCCCGTGTATACGTGCATCCATTGTTCTGTGAAATGGCTTCCGCCGGACCACCACCGCCACCAGAGAGAAACCTTTCCTTACCTGGACCCAGCCGCCCTAAGCCCAAGAAGACACGCCGTGGCCTAAGCTACGAAGTGAAATACCAGATCATTCAAGATTTGGAGAAAGGAACACGTCAAGTTGATCTCGCGCGCCGGCATGTCATCAACGAATCTACGATTCGCACTATTAAGAAGGATTCAGCCAAGATTAAAGAACACATGAAAATCACAAAGTCTGCAGGTGCTTCAATGATCAAGTATTGCCAGAACAGGGTGCTGGTAAAGGTGGAAAATTTGCTGGCGAATTATTTGATTCGTCAGGCGCGACGCAACATGGCGGTGGACACGCGTTCAGTGCAGGAGTACGCACGTGAACTGTACGCAGCAGTGTCACGTAAGCTGGGAATTGCAGAGCCCAAACCCTTCAATGCTTCCTCTGGTTGGCTGCATAGCTTTAAGAAGAGGAACAAGATCGCCAACATCAACATTGGTGGTGAGGAAGCGAGTGCTGACCGTGTGGCGGCTAGAGATTTTCCTCCGTTCTTACGTGAGGTTATGGAGGAAGGACAGTACACTGACGACCAGGTGTTTAACATGGACGAATCTGGTCTTTTCTGGAAAAAGCTACCTTCCAAGATCTTCGTTGTCCAGTCTGCCAGCAAGGTAAGGGGTCGGAAGTTGCAGAAGGAACGCATCACCGTCCTCTTTACCACCAATGCCTCCGGTACCTGTAAACCAAAGTTATCGGTGATTCACACAGCCCGCAAGCCGCACACCTACAAGAATATGGACATGAACAAGCTTAATGTCCACTGGCTAACCGCACGTAAGGCGTGGATGTCCTCTTCTCTGTCCCTCTTCTGGTTTGACAACTGTTTTGTTCCCGACGTGAAGAAATTCTGCGAGCAACAGAATGTTCCATTCAACATTTTGTTGCTCCTTGACAACGCACCTGGACACTCGCCCCTACTTATGGATCGTCACCCCAACTTAAAAGTGGTCTTCCTTCCTCCCAACACTACGTCATTAATCCAACCCATGGACCAGGAGTTGATCTGCAATGTGAAAGCTGCGTACTCTGCAAAGAAGTTCAAGCTCCTGAACGACTCTACCAACACCAAGGATGAGTTGCGTAAGCTGGGTGACACCGACAGCGAGAGTAAAAGCGACGAGGACAAGGAACAAGAGGTGGCAACTCAAGAAGTTCTCGTCAAACAGTTTTGGAAGAAGTTTAACGTCAAACAAGCTGTAGACTTCTTGGTGGAGGCATGGGCTCAGCTGTCTATTGCTACGATTCGTCACGCATGGAGACATGTGTTGCATGGCATACCAGCTGAGAGGAGGAGTCAACCTGTGACTGGTGAGGTTCAGACTGTTGCAGTAGCATTGGACCTTGCCAGAGAAGCTGGGCACAATATTACAGCTGAAGGCTTCTCCGAGACCACCAACGAAGACATCCTGGAGGTGATCAGAGATCCTGAAGTGACTGCCGACGAGATGTTGGAAGATGATCACGTCAGTGAAGAGGAAGAAGGTGTGTCATTCTCCGAAGAACACAAGTTAAGTCATAGTGATATTAAGGGTGCCATGGAGTGTGCAGAAAAAATGAAGTCCTTCCTTTCCCGCGACAATGACGATGACCGCTATGAAGTCTTCCATACCCAGCTGGTGCAGGCTATGGAGCCGTACATCACGGTGTATCAAGACAACATTAACACTAGCCGTCAAAAAAGCATTACCGAGTTCTTCGCCCGCAACCCACCACAGCCAGCCAGAGCCAGTGATAGTGACAGTGAAGGTGGTGACTTTGAGGGATTTGTCAGGGAGGCCCTGACAACTATAACGGATAGTGATGGTGATTCACCAGAGGGCCAGTAATCTGCCCTCTGCCTCGGAACCAGTCTCCATCCCCGTATGCCGACCCACCTCTTCTACTAACGTAAGTGTTCAACATAACTTTTAGTTTTCCTAACCTAACCTTTATTTTTCCTAACTTAACCTTTATTTTTCCTAACCTAACCTCTTCTATATACTTGTTTGTTCATACCATCATAAAGTTAAGATAAAATTTTTGCTACAACATAGTTGTGTGTCGTCAAAAAGTGGAGTTTGGGGGTCGGGCCAGTCTCTATTGGAATTAATCCCATATGTTCTCTTGTTCACTTAACGCGGTTTTCACTTAACGCGGTACCCTGTGGGTTCAATTGACCGCGTTAAGCGGGGTATTACTGTAATAATAATAATAATTAGAATAATAATAATAATAATAATAATAATAATAATAATAATAATAATAATAATAATAATAATAATAATAATAATAATAATAATTATAATAATAATAACAACAACACTAATAATAGTAATACAGGTTGTACCTCTCTAGTCCGGCAACCTCGGGACCTGACCGGTGCCGGACCATGGAAATTCACCCTTTTCCTGAATAGATAGTGACTTGTGCTTATGCCTTTTACTTTTACTTTTATCCTCTTCGCCACTGATCGGCTTGTTAGCCGCTTGGGCGATCGGTCACGTCTCTTTTCCTTTACTATAACTGTACTGTACTGTACTGTACTGTATTGGCGGAATAATACTACAGCTGGTGGGCAGCCAACTGCAGGCGAAAACATGTTGGGAAAAATTCGTAAGGAATTCGTTAACCGAGGGTTTGCTCGCTAACCGAAGTGAAGAATCTTATGGAAGGTAATTCGTTAACCGAAATTTTGTTAACCAAGGCGCTCGTTAACCGAGGGATCACTTTATATAATATTATATAATATAAAATAATATAAGATAAAATAATATACTGTAATATAATATAACATAATGTAATGTAATGTAATGTGATGTAATATAATATAATATAATATAGAGCATCCTTGAAGATCCGGACCGGTAAATCCGGATTTTAGAAGATCCGGAGAAAAAGTTTGGGGGTTCTGGGCTAAGAAGCCTCCTTAAGAAGCATTCCCAAAACAGAGTGAAGGTAGTTTAAGGTTTAAAGTTATTATCTTATAAAATGTCACAGAATAAAATTAGCAGAATATAACTTGCATTGCTGGAATCTTTGGAAGATAGCTGGGGTGGCAGAGGGAATGGCTTCACCTTGATTGTCTACCTCACCAAGTCATTGTACAGTAATACATATACTGTACTTCAACTAATCATCGGATATTTCACTGTTTGAGTGGGTCGTCACTCTGTAATTTACACTTCTCTATCCCATCTTCTGCCTTACACAATAATACAGTACTACATGATACAGTATAATGATGGTAACTCACCTTGTGTTGTGGCTGTTTATCTGCACCTGAGTCTCCAGGCCGGCTCCCACCATCTGTAAGGTCCACCAGGTGTTCGCGTAAGTCTCCGCCAGTCTTCATTCCCTTGGTAGTTGATTTTTTAAAATTTCTTAATACAGTTTTACACCTGTAATATTAAAATTTAAGTTAATACGGTGGTCCCTCGATTAACGATCGGTTCGATTGACAAAATTTCAGTTCACGAATTAGCTCGCATAAGAATTTTCAGTTCCATTAACGAACAAAATTTTGATTAACGACAGCCTTACGAGAAACACGCTTTGTTGTACGCATCGGCTGATCGGCTAGTCCGCCAATACAGTAATTGGTTCTATGTTTACATTCGTTTCCAGTGGAGTAAATATCAAGAAAGTTGTGCTCTTGAATAATTTTGCATTTTTTATATGAAAATTATTGGTCATTCTGAAATTTAGTTAACATATTGATAATATACAGTATTACCCCGCCTAACGCGGTTTCACTTAACGCGTTTTATCATATACGCGGTGCCTCGCCAGAGCTGAACTTTCACTTAACGCGGAATTTTTCATCATATACGCGGGAAGCGGCGCGGCGCGGGCACGATGCGCACAAGGTCGCCCAGTCATCAAAACATTACCGAGTTCTTCACCCGCCACCCACCACAGCCGGCCCAAGTCAGTGATAGTGATAATTATAGTGAGGATATGGACTTATATGGCCTTTGAGGGGTTTGACAAAGAGGCCCTGCAAGCCTCTGTGGTGGATAGTGATACAATTGATACAAGTGATACAGGTGAGGGCCAATAATCTGCCCTCTGCCTCGGAACCAACCCCCCATCCCCGTGTGCCCAGCCATCTTTTCTACTAATGCAAGTGTTAAAAAACCTAATATTATTGATATTTCTCTTAATTATTAATTGTGTGTGCATACCATCATAAAGTTAAGATAAAATTTTTACTACAACATAGTTGTGTGTCGTCAAAAAGTGGAGTTTGGGGGTCGGGCCAGTCTCTATTGGAATTAATCCCATATGTTCTGTTGTTCACTTAACGCGGTTTTCACTTAACGCGGTACCCTGTGGGTTCAATTGACCGCGTTAAGCGGGGTACTACTGTATACAGTACAGGGAACAGTTTTTGTGTGCCCTTCAGCTGATCGAATCACCCACCAACGCTTCTCAGTTTAACTTTGTTTACAGTGGAGTGAACATCCAGTTTGTTGGTCTCTTGAATATTTTTGCATTTTTACATTAAAATTATTAGTCATTCTGAAATTTAGTTCACATATTGATAATATACAGTGCAGAAATTATTATGAAACATGAAGAAGGCATTAGAACCAATGCACTCTAAAGAAAATGGCAAGCCATCATCGACTGCCTCTACAATCAGCTGTTTGATATGTAAACAAAGCTGGTGGTAATACGACATACACACCTCAAAATAAGTTAAAATACAATACAGTATTTAGTACTGTATTTAGTATATATTTAATGTTTTGTTAATTCTACTACCGGTTAACAACCGACTCTGTGGAACCAATTGTGTTCGTTAATCGAGGGACCACTGTATATGATCTAAAAATAAATAAGTGAAAAGCTTGAGGACACATCTTAACCCTCTCAGTCTCGCACGACACCATTGTGGCGTCAAACACAAAAGGCGAAAAAATTTACGCCTATAGTCAAATGACTCAAAACTATTCAGTGAAACTGACTGAACTTGGGATGTCATTTGACAGACGTCGTCTTCTTTGTGTGGACCTTATCACCTTCCCCGAGACGGTCTTGGTCATCATGTGCGAGGCAGCGCAGCATGAAAACAGTGTCACTCTGGCCATTAGAGCGAGAAGAGGCTGCGCTGCTCGGCCCTTTAAGTATTCCATGAGTTTTTGTGTTATATTATTTTTCCTCACACCACAATATTCAACAGGCTTTGTTTTTTATTTTGGAACAAGCAGTACATATCAATGAACACCATAACACAAGGAAAATTTGAATGGAAATCAAGATGTTACTATAGAGAGTTTTTTCCCAGCTGAGCAAAGATGCCTCGCACCCTCCTCAAAAGTTACAGCTGATTGGCTGTTGCAAACCTGTAATGATGTATTTCTAAATGAGTTTATTCATAATCGTTGGGATGACCGTTTCTGATGGGAAAGATACTTAGCTAAATTATATAAAGATACATACATTCATTATTTCAAACAGGAGCACGTAGGAAGTTTATCAGAAGTTTTATATACATGAATTAAATGTTAAACTCTGGGAGCAAATGCATGCTTTCGGAGGATACATTTAATATATACTTATTTTTACCCACAATAAGGCATACTTAGACAAATTACGTATCAGTAATACTACATTATGCAAAAACAACATTTTTAAAGATCAGTATTGCATTGAAATATTACACGACCATCAGCAGAGGCGGGAAATATGACTCAAGATAGTGACTAAATTGAATGTAAACATGCTATAGTTTGCACTAGACATAAAAGTTTTAGTAATTGTTTCATACATTTGAGTACAAAGGACTAAAAATTTCATCTCGTGCAAAATATATGAAGTCTACATTCAAATTATTCGCTGTCTTGCAAGGATTCTAGCCATGCAAGTTATATTCTGCTAACTTTAGTTTGTGACATGTTATAAAATAAAAACTTTAAGCCTAAAAGTACCTTCTTAGGGAGGCTTCTTAGCGCAATTAATAATCGTCCAACACTACCAAAATAAATAATGCATTAGTGTGATTATTTAGTACTGTAGTCTAAATTTCATATTTGAATAAGTCCAAATATGGCAGGTAACCAGTGCCAGGTAGTTCCTAGGCATGTTTCATTTGTGTATCAGTTTAACCACAATTTGTTACTAATAAGATAAATTCAGTGACAAATTAATTTTTTTTTATTCCTTTAGTGACTCAATGTATTGCAAGAAAGAACTACCTTACCACTTTTTGTGCAACATTTGGAGTGGTGGTAATAATTCACTTTGCCAGACAGTGGTAGAATCAAGTGTAGATTTATTGGCCTTGTGTATCCATGATCCCAACAAAAATGAATAATGTCTTCCAAAATTAAAGAAAGTGATGGTCTTATTATCTTTTCGGTCATCCAGGGAATTTTAGGATTTTAAGTTGACCAATGTTTTCCAGTTAGGTTAAGTTAGGTAGTTTAGGTTAACATTTTGATGTAGAACATTAAAATTTTAAAGGGCCTATTTTTTTTTCTATGAATTTCTCAAAAAAAAAAGGATCAAAGTTTTGGAATCACCATAAAAATCGACATTAGAAAAAAAAATTTGAGTGTGTGTTGAATATCAAACCAAACAAATCTGAGTTTCCATTGGATTTTTTTTTTAACAGACAAAATTACCCACAATATGCAGATGTTGGAAATTTATAAATATTAACCCTCATAAATAAAGATATTTCAGAATTCTCAAATTTAACTAACACAATATTAATGACTTACAGGTGGAGATACAGCTGACTATTCACCTTTCACCAATACTGAAGAAATAAATCTTGGTGTCATGATTGATGGGGAATTTTTCCGGTTCATGAGAAGATTCTGGAATTTGCAACCTAACCTAACCTCAGAATTGGTTCCCAGATTCGTAACAGAAAAATTTGGAGACTTTCCGCAAAATCCCCAAATTATTCATAGACCAGAAAAAATGCAGTTTCTGGAATTTTTAGAAATTATGCATTTGGAAAAATCATAACATATGCCTTAATTTTTTTTATTTTTTTTTTTACACTCTAAATATGCATGGATATTTTGTATTAATATATTTGTGAAATTTGTGGACGACTTTTCCTTTAAAATACTTTACTCTTGATCATCCATATATTATAACATATCCTGCTTTTAATAAAGGCTATATTCTGACATTAGTATTATCAGTGTATTCTTATCCTTATTATTATTACAGTTTATATTAATCATTAAAAAATGCAGAAATAATTTGCAATTAACATAGCAGACTGCATTGAGGCTATTTTTAAACCATGTAATTATCATCTTGTATTATGTTTAACATGCTTAGTCTCTGATAAGTTGGTAGAATTTCATGACTATACCTACTGTATATGGGTTCCATGACATTTGCTCACTAGATGAACCTAATCTAACCTAACCTAACATGTCTTCCTTTCCATTATAGTTGAGTATATACCTTGTAAACAAATGTCTGCACACTAACTATATGAAGACTCTGGTGAGGATCTATATACAGTACAGTATTTACATGGAATATTTTTCCAAATAAAAGACCATTTAAACAGCAGATACTTTTCTCCAACTGCTGGTTTAGTCCATGTCATTAACATGTTGTACACATTTTTGCTCCTGACATTGTGAAAGTGTTCATGTATTGCTATCTTTCTTAGGGTATTTATTGCATTTCTATAAGCAGGTGGAGAAACGTAGGAAACATTATCTCAAGGTTTCATATCTTGTAGATAACTGGCCTTTATACTTGTACAGTATAATCTTCATTTACGCTGATTTTGTTTACACATTTGGTCATTTACACGGCACCTTGCCAGAATAACAATTTTAAATTACGCGGTTCATTGCATCATTTACGCGGCGAGCGGCCCGAGAGGTCCAGACGCGCCAATTATTAGCTACGCGGTACATTCTTGACCATACGCGGGAAGCGGCGCGAAGAGGGTGCGCAGTATGTAACTGTTGCGTTATCGCTGATGTCATATGACATATCGGACTGCAATTGGGCCACACATCCTTACCTCCCTCCGCGGCTAGCTGTGACTGGTCTAATGTAATATGACGTTCCCAGCCACTGGAGGGAAGGAGTCACTGACCTATCCGGGCCAGTCTCATTGTTCTCAGTCTCTGCGTACAGTGGTCCCTCGGTTAACGAGCGCTTCGGTTAACGAGATTTCGGTTAACGAGTTACCTTCCATAAGATTCTTAACTTCGGTTAACGAGCAATCCCTCGATTAACGAGTTTCTTACGAGCTGACCTGAACATGTTTTCGCTTGCATTTGGCAGTCCACCAGCTGTAGTATTAGTCCGCCAGTACAGTAATCGGTTCTAGGGTTTAAATTCCTTACCATTTTAGTGAATATCAAGAAGTTTATACTATTCAATAATTTTAAAAGTTTAATATTAA